TGGGTCGCTTTTTACCTTTAGATTACGAACAACTTTTATTTCAACCATATCATAATTGTTCGCAGTGGAGTAGATCGGTTAACATGTATAACGTTGACTTAGACTAGAAAACTTAAATGACCTGCAAGAATCCGAAAGTACGGAAATTTTACGGTACTTGAAAGGATTGAATATTTCAATACGTCTTAGGATGGGGTATCATACATTATACACCCTTGAAGAGGGTCAAAAGTTAGCATGGAGGGAAGAATATTATCAGAAGCGAAATAGTTATTCTAGAAAATCCGAAGATGTTCTACCCGTTGTCAAAGTTAAGGACTCACAACATAATCCATTCGTTATTCAACCTCGAAATTTGTGGATGATCATGATGTAGGAGTAGACGAAGTTGAAGAAGAAATTGTTGATGCAAAAGTTAAAATTAGTGCAGCTATGATTAACGATGACATTAACGAACTCAAAGTGAACGTCGACGAAGTTGAAGGGAGAGTCAATGAGGTTGAAGAGAGCATCAACACAGTTGAAGAGAACGTTAACAAGGTTGAAGAGGAAGTCGACGAGTTTAAAGAGGGTACTAAAAAGTTATTTGAGGAAGAATTTGAAGTGGAGCAAGCCCAAGACTCCCTGTCCTACTACATTTACCAATCCAATGATTCCATGTGGTGGCATTCTTATAAGAATTATGCAGTTTTGGCAAATCCATTTGAGCTAGCAACAAGAATCCTAAACAACAATCGTGAGGATGACTCAAGGAACACGGTTTTATAAGGTGAAAGGAAGGGTTCTTGTAATTCATAATTAAAGGAATGGGTATTCCGGATATATCAGCGAGGGTAAACTTAAACTGATATTTAAAAGTAGGGAGTTCAAAGTTCACCAAAATGTATGGGGACTCAGTAACGAAAGTAACTTTGGTATAGTTATTTAGTTGCAAAAATCCCTTTACATAATGTATGTTATTTGTAACTGAAGAGAAAAGATGCATAGTGTAAATAATCAAATACTTCTCCTCGGAAAAGACGAATACTTCTCTCTTTCTCTCTGACGAGCTCCTTCTCCTTGGCCTTGGATCTTTTTCCATTGCTCGAGTAACTGTATTCAATTTCCCAGTCTTCCTTTGCCTCTTTCTTCTTTTCTTCCCTTCTCTACCTTTGCCTCCCCCTCCTCATGGAACCATCATCAGCAATTAATGAATTCATATCCCATACTACTCCTTTTGTCTCTTATTATTTGTCATTTGAGGTGTTTTTTTGTTCCAAATTATTTGTCTATTAGAGTTCCAATAAGGCATTAATTGCAGTTTATCAATATTACCCCTTATTACACCTAATTAGTTAGTTGAAAATAGATAATGACAACTGTAAATTAGTATTTTACTATTTTTTTTTGGTATAATCCATGAATATTTATTGAGTTTCTTAATATGCGTGTAACCACCCAAAATGTCATTTAGAGTATTAAACTTCAATGCTCGAAAAGAATTTTCATGACACATTAATAAATGAACCATTTAGAGAAGAGCACACCCTTGTAGCAAAGATTCTCACCTAAAAAAATATCAACTTGAATGCCATCAAGGAACGATGCTTAAAGCATGGGACCCAAAATGTCAAAACTTTCTTGGTCCCGATACATAAAACGGGTAATGAATTTAGTAAATTGGTTGAACAAATTAATTAGTGAAAATACTAAAAGATTAGCCGAGGCGAGTTGACTCTGTCCTTAAGACGAAATTTCCCCGCAACGGTGCTAACGGATTAAATGGAAATCGTCTCCCAAGATACAACGGCAAAACTTGGAATAGGAGCACTCCAAATCCCAAGTACGACGAACTGTACTTTGTGTAGAACTTTTCGAGAGAATCTGTGAAGGGTAGGCTTAATATGTAGTAGGCTTGTTTTGGATTGAAGTGAGGAATTTTGGGAAAGTTAGGGTCTATTTATAAGGTTCGAAAAGTAGTGTCCTTTGGAGCAAAAAGGTACCTTTTGTTTGAATGGTTGCACCATTTCAAGTTGAGCCGAATGGTTTGCATTGGTTCGGCCGCACCAATTCAGACCAGTCAGACCAATCGAGATGGGCTTCGAGTAATAAGGGCCCAATGGGTTAAAAGCCCATGACCTAATGTTTTTGGCCCAAAAAATTAATGTAGTGATTTGGGCCCGAGCCCAAATCCAAATCCGATCCGTACGAACGAGCCGAGCCGGCCGGTCGGACGGCGGTGTGCGCGGGCACGATTTGAAACACTTAACATATAGGCCTTTCTCCCAAACAATGTTGAATGCCCAAAGGGCGTGACCCTTTGTCCCAATATTTTGATATATATACAGCTCATTACTTCTCTACTTTTCCAATGTGGGATAACTCAAAATCCCACTTTCCTTATATTTTGGACTAGTAATTTTTTCATTCACCACAAAATTGGTTCTAATCCAAAATTCATTTATATACTCAATTAGACCGTACAATAGCATTGATAAAAAATTGTTCATGACTCAATTTTTAACCAATTTTCCCAACAAACTTCACAAACCCCCTGCACCAAAACCCCCTTTAAATACAAAAATACCCATGTACTATGGACTTTATATCATTTACCTCCTTATATTACACATAAATACAAAAACCCCCCAACTTTTATATTTTTCCAAAATCAGACGAAAATACCCCTGCTAAGCCTGTAAATATAAGGGTTTGTTCGAGCCATTTTTCACTATATTTTTTAACATTTTCGATCAATTTTACTTTGAAAATGTTGATATTTTTATTTTTTTTTCTCCAAAACATTTAATTACTTAGATTTTTTTTTATTTTTTTTCTGAATAAAACCTTTTGTTTTTTTTCATTTTCAATTTCTTCATTTTTCTTAAATGTTTTCCGGTCGTTCAAATTTTCAACAATCATAGAATTGTAAAGATGTTTATAGTCTTAGGATGTTTGAACTAATAGAAGACATTTTTTTATAAAAAGGGAAGAACCTCAAAAATGACAAAAATAAAAGGTTTTATTCAGAAAATTAAAAAAAAAAATCTAAGCAATTAGATGTTTTGAAGAAAAAAATATAAATACCAAAATTTTCCACATAAAATTTACTGAAAATGGTAACATATATAGTGGAAAATTGTTCAAACAACCCTTCATATATATATATATATATATATATATATATATATATATATATATATATATATATATATATATGCTTGAGTAGGGGTATTTTCGTCATATTATTGAAAAAATGTAATGTGAGAGGGGGTTTTATTATTTATGTGTAGTACGGTGGGCAGTGGCGAATCCAGGATTTCTGCCAAGGATGATCGAAAGTGAGTATAATAAAAAAAATATATATATATTTAATAAATATGATGGACGGAAAAATTCCGGGGGTTCGGGAGCAGCGCCCCCGAACTTTTTTTTTAATAGTATAAGCTCAAAACAATACAAATATGTAAAAATTTAAAATTAACAAAAATTATTTGCAAATTTTAGGAAAATTTAGAAATATTTAATAAATATGATGGACGGAAAAATTCCGGGGGTTCGGGAGCAGCGCCCCCGAACTTTTTTTTTTTAATAGTATAAGCTCAAAACAATACAAATATGTAAAAATTTAAAATTAAAAAAAAATATTTGCAAATTTTAGGAAAATTTAGAAATATTTATAGAAACATTTGATGAAAATATTAAAGAAATTAGAGTTATAGGGTACAAAAAAGTGAATTTCTTGGAAATTAGAAAGAAAAGAAAAAAAGAAAAAGAAAAAAAACTTGAGAACCTAGGATTGGGAATCGAACCCAGCACTCTGTTATATGTAGTGAACGCACATTGCCACTTGAACTACAAAAACAATATTGTAAAATTTTCACAGTTAATGGTATATATATATATTGTTTTTGTATATATATATATATATATATATATATATATATATATATATATATATATATATATATATATATATATATATTTATACAAAAATAGTTTTTTTGTGCAAAACCAAGGGTGTGCAGCTGCACACCCTTGCCCACTACTAGATACGCAACTGACGGTGGGTATATTATACAAAGTTTATAGTGCAAGGGTGTTTTTGTATTTAACCCATTTTTTTCTTCTGATATATCCAAAATCGAAAACTTGTCATTGACGTTTCGATATGCACATGTCATTTTAAAGATATGGCCACGAGATAAAACGTGCTCTGAACTTAATCTAACAAAAACTCCCTTTTGGATCGAGGTCCAAAACCTCGTAATCTGCCTCATGAACACCACCACAATCAAGCTAATTGGCAACACCATTGGTGAATTCATCAAACGGATATCATCTCTACCTGTCATAAATGGAAGAAGTCACTCTATATTAGCATCCTTTTGGACACTACCAAACCACTTACCGATTAAGTTGTCATCTGGCGACCAAAAGGAGTTGACCTTAAGTAAGGTATGATAGACTAGCGTTCTCTTTTTTTCTTTTCTTTTTTTTTTTTTAGATTTTTGTTTTGAACATAAAAACATAATAATAATTTATTGCTTCAAATCCATAGTTTTTGTACATGAAGGAAAACATCTGCGCGAATAGTTCTGAGAAATATTACACAACGAAATATTGTTCAGAAAGGAGGGGCAACAATCAAAATATCAAATTTCATTTTTATCCAAAGTAGTCCCCAAATCCGCAAGAGCATCCGCAGCTTCATTGATATTTTTAAAGGGTTAATAGCATTTTCCCACCTAGACTTTGCCCGTTTTTGCACTTTCCCACCTCAACTTAAAAAAGTTGCACGGCGGCACCCAAACATTCATTTTTGACGCACATAACCACCTGGAGGGAATATTCTGGCGAATCTTTCCACTCTCCGGCGCACGCACGCTGCACATGCCAAATTACATGGGCTTTTTCGTCTTTTCCTTTAGCTTCTTCCTAAATGCCCTAATTCCGCCCTAATTTTCCCTCCATCTCAATTTCTCGCGGTTTCATTTCCCTCCTCTTCACTTCTTCTCCTCTTCTCTCATCTTTTGTCTGCATTTTTTTTTTTCTTTTTCTTCTTGTTCTCTCTTCGTTCTTTCGTTCTTTTGTTTACATTCTGGACATGTCACAAAGTAGTGGAGTCCAGGTCAATAATACATGCTACTGTGCAAGAATGGCAATAATGAAGACATCTTGGACCGATTTGAATCCAGGGAGGAGATTCGCTATATGTCCCAAATATAAGGTATGAATTTCTTGTAAATTTCGTCAATGTCAACCTTATTTTGAATCCATGAGGAGATTTGCTGATTTTGAATTCTTATTATGTGTTCTGTTTTTTCCAGCAAATTGGGGGTTGCAAATACTATGTGTGGATTGACCCTCCAATGTGTGACCGATCTCGTAACATAATTCCTGGTTTACTTAGGAACATCAACAAGTACGAAGATGAGTTGAAGAAGTATGGAGTTGAGTTGAAGAAGTGTGAAGATGAGTTGAAGAAGTGTGAAGATGATTTGAAAAAGTGTGAAGAACAACTCATTAAGAAGGGTGCAAGGGAAAAATGGTTGTGGATTGCCTTGACAATTGCAATGTTTTTAGTGTATCTGCTTGTTTAGATGTTTAGAACAAGTATTGATATTTCTATATTATGTACTTGCCTTCAATTAAGTAGTTGTAATAACTTTATAACTTTATGTTCTTGTGTAATGGCAATATAGATTTGTAATGAATGTTATTGTATACCTACTGAGTTTTGCATAAGGAAAAAACATAATCATTTTAAAAGTAACTAAGTGCACAAGAAACAGACTATATAGTCTTACCAAAATCCAAAATACTACAAAAAACTGCAAAGTCTTACCAAAATGCAAAATACATAGTCTTAACAAAATACAAAATACTACAAAATAGTGCAAAGTCTTACCAAAATGCAAAACAAAGTCTTAGCAAAATACAATCCCAAAAGATCATTCCCAAAATGCAAAAAGTATTGATCTAAAACGTTCAAAATGTACTGAAATCACAACAATAACAAAGTAAATGGCCACTATTTCTTCTTTGGTGTGGCTTTCCTTGGCCTCAGATTATGTGATGGGGATGAAGGCTGAAGCACAACTTGCTTCTTCCCTTTGCTTGTTTTGGCCACAATTGTTGTTTTCTTCTCTTTTTCCTTCCCCTTTCTTGTATCCGAAGAAATCATTGTTTCATTCACCTTGCTTGTCTTACCAATAACCTGATTTTTCCCATAAGTTAGAATAAAATAAATTATCACATAAATTAGGAATTTCAAACATGTCTTAAATGCATTACCTTTTCAGAAATCATGGATTTCTTCCCCTTTCTTGACACTGGTAATTTATTCTTTGTTGAAGGCTCAGCTACACTTTCTTGAGTCTGGTTAATGTCAAAAACAAGCTTCCTCTACAGAAATGTAAAAAATCAGAAAAATCAAGAAATCATAAATTAACATAGAAACAGTAGTTTGGCTACAAATCACAAAAGCTAAGTACCTTTCTGTTAATAGCAATACTTGTTTGAACTTCCATATGAGGTTCAAATGTAGTGTGACTTTGTTGTTCTGTCACAGTTTGACTTTGTTGTTGAGTAACAGTAGCTTGTGTGTTTGACTTATTTCTCTAGCATTGGAAAGACAATTATAAATGCATTAGTTTACAATTAATTTAACAAAATAATGAATAATTGAAAACTATGCATATACCTGGCCTTTGTCATTAACTGCACCACTTGCCTTCTTCAAGGGGCAACTTCTTGCATTGTGGTTTTTCTTTTGACATGAACTACATGTCATTATGACACCTTGTCTACCCAAACTCCCAATCCTTGTTACTGTTTTGGCAACTGGTGGTGGGATGTCCTTTGGACCATTGATCTCCCCTGGTTGCCTTCTTCTTTTGTGCAGTTTAGGCCTGCCTGGCATCTTCACAATGTCTGGAGGAAGCAAGGGTGGCTTTCCAGATTCAGGCCAAGATTCAAATCCTTCAAGTGTGTCAAGTAAGTGGCTGTACACTCTCATATAGGTGTTCTTCTTATACAAGTCTTCAACATAATCTTCAGGCATTCTTCCCAGATAGTACATGCCTGAAATGGAATGTGCACAAGGAATTCCAGAGAGTTGCCACTTTCTACAACTGCAAGTCTTATCTCCCAAATGCACCTTAAATCTATCACCATAGCAATTCTCAACTTCAAACTGATCCTTACCATTCCAATTAGCTATGAACTCCATTGATTTTTTCTTCAGCTCCTCTATCTGTCTCTGAATGTTAGGACAGATGTCACCCTTGTGGCTTGCCATCTTATCCCTCTTCACATGCAGCCTCTTCATCAAGGTCTTTCTGATTGCCTCCAACATATCAATTATTGGTAGACTTCTAGGCCTTAGAATCATTGCATTAAAGCTTTCACACATATTGTTCAAAAGTGAATCACATTTTGAATTTGTATTGAAATAAGCTCTACTCCAATGTGCAGCAGGCCTCTTTGCAAGCCATTTGAAAGCATCTTTATCTTTGGAGGCCAAATCTCTCATCACTCTTTCAAAATCCACCACTCTTGAAGCTCTAGCAGCTTGCCACAGAATGTTCTTCAGTGCCAATCCTTTATGTGATACCTTGAAGTTACAGTACAAGTGCATGACACAAAATCTGTGCTCACTGTTAGGCAGAACTTCCTCCACTGCATCTAATAACCCCTTCTGCTTGTCACTCATGATGGTCCAATGCTGACTCTCCTCAATCTTCAAGTCTTCTTTCAGCAAATTCATAAACCACAACCAACTTTCTCTCTTTTCCTTTTCTACAACAGCATATGCAAAGGGATACATGCCATTATTTCCATCTATCCCCACTGCACATAGAAGAATCCCACCATATATGGACTTCAAGTGACAACCATCTAAGAAGATGATTGGCCTACACCCATCAAGAAACCCCTGTCTCAATGCATCCCAGCAAATGTAAATTCTTTTGAACTTCAGTTGATCTGTTTCACCACTTCCTTTGATTCTAACAGTGGTCCTAGGACTAGACTTTTTAATTTCCTGAGCATACCTCCATATGAGCCCATACTGCTCAATATTAGACCCTGTACTCTTCTCTATTGCCTTTTGCTTTGCTCTGTACAGTTGGTGTCTGCTAAATAACAATTTGCAGTCATTTTGAACCACAGTCATCATAGAGTCCAATGGCCATCTTGGATCAGTAACTATTTTGTCTGCATATTTAGTGGCCAACCACCTGGAATTTGCACAAGTCACTTTCTCCTTTCTGTTACATTCATGGACTGCATTGATTGTCTTGATTTGAAAGGTGGATTCACCTCTCATTTGAGAAGCATAGACTAGCCATGGACAACTTGGATGCTTGCATATGGCTTGAATCTTATACTTCTCATTAAGCCTCAGCTTTATGTCCCTACCATTAACTATGGAGTGCTGTCTTATGGCATCTCTAAAACTCTGTGCATCATTGAAGCAAACACCAAGCTGAAAGTTAGGATCAGCCATGTCTATCTTTGGATTAAAAACTGGAAAGTTGTGGTGTTTCCATTGATCTTTCTTGGCAGTTTCATCAATCTGATCTTCTGCCACTTTCTCTTTCCCCTTGTTTAATCTCCTAGACCTTCTAGGTTCTTCAGCCTCTTCATCTGACCTAAGTCCACCCCACTCTACCCCATGATCAACATTGTTATCATATTGGAAATCATCATCAGATGCAAAAAAATCACTATCAACCAAAAAGTCAGAGTGCTCTGAATCATCTCCAACTGACTGAACATCACTTCCACCACTTTCATTATCATCAAACAAACCATCATTATCACCAAAAATGTCAGTCATATGATTCACATAAATATTACTACCAAGAACCTCAAATTCAGGCACATCACACTCAGACACATCATTAAACTCATCAACTTCATCAACATCACCCACATACCCTACTGCTTCATCTACATATGGAAGATTATCTAAATCAAATGAATCAGGTTGACTTTTTTCAGTTTCATCTTCTATTACTTGTAGGTGCTTCACATAAATTGTAGTGGCTCTGTCTTTGTCAAGATAGTTCACTAATTCCAAAGCATCATTATCATTCTCCATTAAATAAAGAACACTACAATCTTGTATTGCACTTCTACTGTGATAGAAATCTTCCCAATCATCCAATTTTAATTCCCTTGCCATTTCAGTTACTTCAGTCATTGACATTTCATCATAACAACAGTAGTCAAAATAACTAACTTTCCCACCCACATAACAGATCTTACCTAAATCCATAATTTTTCCAGAATGGTGCATTACTATTGTGAAATAATCACTATTGCGGCCTGCCAAAAAATATATAAAACACATTTTCAGAACATGTGAATCTAATAAAAAACTGTATGATGTGGTAATAAGGACAAAAAATTAGAACGTGCTAAAATCGAAGTGGGAGACTAAAATGTGGTCCAATTATGTATTGTAAGCTAGCATAAACATATGGGAGACAAGAAAATCAGTGTGGTCCACACAATACATAAATATACTATAAATAAACAAAGAAATCACTATAGTATATTATAAACAAATGCAAGAACACCCATGTGCAACCACATTGAATACATAAAACAACTATTTACACAGAAAAAAAACAAATTGGGCGAATTTTAAGAATGCATACCATATTCTGGAGCATTGTTTCGAAAATCGTCCAACTCATTGCCCTCTCTTAACTTCCAAGTCATGATAGAGTTACGAAGATCTTCAGATTATTGCAATTTATCGTCGATAATGTTAGCCCTAGATTGACATAGAAAAGGGGATTTTTGTGAAGGAGGGGATTTTTGTGAAGGTGTGAAATTGAATTGAAATGGGGGAAGTCAACGACTGCTAGGGCATTTAGGAAGAAGCTAAAGGAAAAGACGAAAAAGCCCATGTAATTTGGCATGTGCAGCGTGCGTGCGCCGGAGAGTGGAAAGATTCGCCAGAATATTCCCTCCAGGTGGTTATGTGCGTCAAAAATGAATGTTTGGGTGCCGCCGTGCAACTTTTTTTAGTTGAGGTGGGAAAGTGCAAAAACGGGCAAAGTCTAGGTGGGAAAATGCTATTAACCCATTTTTAAAAGATAAAGGGTTATTGAGAAAAACATAATCATATCGGGTATTCCACATAAGCCAATAGAGAGTGGCCATTTGGTATTGTAGAGTGGAATAATTATTAAGATGGTGAACTAATATACTAATGTTATTGTTTTATTTTTAGCAATTTACGTGCACTTTACAAATAAGCCCATTAATGGGTACTTATTCATAAAAGGGTTCTGACTAAAAACTCTTTTACTAGAAAGTTCACACATGGTCTAGAGGTTTGTAAAAGACTAAAATAGCCCCTCACATTTTAATATGCTCCAATTTCATCCTTTAATTTAATCTAACGTCAATTTGGCCCCAATTTTTTCACAAATTATATATATATATATATATATATATATATATATATATATATATATATATATATATATATATATATATATATATATATATATATATATATATATATATATATATATATATATATATATATATATATATATATATATATATATATATATAT